TGCACTCAATGCATAACTTCTTTGGGAATTTAAAGTCTGAAATTAATGACTGTAAATGACGTCTTTACAATAAATCCATTGGATGTTGGATGTGTGCTGATTGATATTTTAGTCTTAGATACATGATTTTTTTAATTATTTTTATTGGCTTTGAACTAGCTTTCAGTAACTGTGAGTACTATCAGATCTGTACTTTTGTGTTTTTTTGTTAGGTTTGTGCTTTGTATCGATCTGATGAGGTAAGCCGTTTTCAACTGATTTTTATAGTTTGTTCTTATGTTGTACTAGCTGTTACACAACTGTCCCAGGTTAAGGGGAGGGTTTGGCGCCAGCAAAAATGTTTAACCCCGCCACAATCTGTGTGTGCCTATCCCAAGTCAGGAGCCTATACAATTCAGCGGTTGTCGTTTGTTGCAGTATATCATATTTGTTTTTCGTTTGTTGTTTTGTACATATATCAGGTCGTTAGTTTTCTCGTTTGAATTGTTTTACATTTGTCATATCGGTACCTTTTTATCTTTATATGTGGTATGGGTTTTGCCCATAATTGAAGGCCGAACGATGACCTATAGTTGTTAACTTCTACGTCATTTAGTATCTAGTGGAGAGTTGTCTCATTGACCATCATACCATATCTTATTTTTATAAAGGTAAATATCATCATTTAAGGGCATACAATACTGTTTTGATCCAAAGGTGATTCTTGACGAAAATTTGCATACAAGCTATTCTTTACATGACCAATTCAAATGTGTATAATAAATAGACAGTCACAAGCTTGGGAGGTGATGACGACGCTAAGGTAAAATGTTACAATTTCGGTGATTTTGACTTAATTGTAGATTGTACCTTGCCGATATATTTTGATGTTATTAGTTTCTCCCTATCAGAGTTTCCCAGAAAAAAAATGTTATCAGTTTGTCTCTATTGTTAATTCTCAAAGGTAATTGCCAAAAACGTTAAAAATTGGTAAAACTTGTAATTCAAAGTCAATAACTCCTCTAAGTAGTTGATTGACAATATTGGTCATGTTGACGTATTTCTACACCTTTGTTTGCTGATAATTCTTACTGTTTACAGTTTCTCTTAAATGAATTTGGCGATTCCTTTTATTTCCTCTTTGGTCATATAGCTCCTAACGATTATGTGTTTGTACATTCCTGGCTTTCAAATGTTTAGGTTTTAGCGTTTGTGAAGAAGGTAAATTCAGAAAAGAGCTTCGGACACACGAAATGTATATTGTTATTTTCATTTACTAGCGATGGGTCGAAACCTCTGTTAGTGGACTGTTAGTCCCCGAGGACGTCAGCAGCTCAGTAGTCAGTGCATTGGTGCTGAACATGATTAACAACATACATTTATAAATTCCGGCCCCCTTGATAAATCAAGAAATTATTTAGAAACTAAAGTTCAAACTCCCTCAGACAAGGTTGACCTTAAATGAATTTGGCTATTCCTTTTATTTTCTTTTGGGTAATATAGCTCCTAACGCGACTACGACAGCTGACGACGGCGACAGGCGCCAAGTGATGACAATAGGTCACATGACCCTTAAATTGGAGTCCGGTCAGCAAAAAAGTGAAGTAGAACACAAGCGAAGTTTCGTGTATATTTATATTCATTATCATAAATATTTAAGCCTCTGAATCCTGTAAATGTTTTACTTTTTATATCGAAGGTATTATTATTTATTTTGATTAATTAAAATCAATGTCAAAAGAAAAAAAAATAGTATAGTTTATAGCGAGAAACAGGCCACCAATATTTTATAATTAGTCAAACTACAAATTCATTACAGAGCTGATATTCATCAATACAATATATGTTAACAAAATTGTTGTATACTCCTGCAGTAATGTACTAAAAAAAGATGGCATAACAAACGATAAAAGGGAGACAACTAAGTGTAGGAATTTGTGACACACATATTCGACAGATCAATAACTGATGACGCAAACTGTCACAACTGATTGAATTTACTAAATGATTAAATAAAATAATGACTGTTGTCGCGACCTTGACGTAGACCAGTCTACATTTTGTTTGCTTGTTATTTTTCAAAATTAGGCCATATTTTGTTTTCGTGTAAATGACCTTTGTAAACAAATAAGCAGAATTGGCATTTAGAATGCTCGTTTTAATGGAAAATATTAAATAAGATTAAAACAATAATTACACCATGGTGCATTAAATGTAATTGGATATGCTGCATGTATCGTGCTTTCATGCAATATTGCTGAGAAACCCCCCTCTTTACTAATTTAAAGCTATAATTTTGCATTAACCGTAATATCATGGTGTAAATAAGTTTTTTTACTCGTGTGTTTCATTACTGGACTTATGCAATATTTGGAAATCGATATATGCTCCCTTTATGTTTAAACACAAAATACATTTAGAGGTTATTAAAGGTTATGTATTCATTGTTTAACCTTTATAGTGGTCTACATATCTATAGAGTCATTCACCGTAATACAAATGCATCTTAAAATAACGCGGACACATATTATTCAAGTCGTAACATTCAATTGTTCACTTTGAACATCGGTATGTGTTACCTTTATATTTAAACACTTCAAAATGTTCTATATAGCATACAATTAAAGGTTGTGAAAGGTTATCCATTGTTTAAACTTCTATATGGTCTGCATATAGAGTCATTCACCGTTGATTCTTTTCCTTGTAAAACAAATGCATTTTAATATAGCGCTGACATATATTAAAGTACTTACATTCAATTGTTCACTTTAATTGCAATTTTATCATAAAGGACTCTACACAAAAAAATAATTTAAGGTTCTGCAAAGTGGGTCGATTTGAACGCTTTTATGAATAAAGTTTCCAACAGGTCATCTATACTCCTACAAAGAGTTGTTGAAAGGGCTTTTTAATGTGTTCAGAGCTTGGCAGTATTCAGTGATCGGCGTATTTTAAAATTAATCGGCTCTATACCGTCATCAAAAAGAATATGATTTGAAAAAAAAAATAATATACGCATTCACTATGTAAAAAATTTTCGATTGTATAATGCAAGTTCGTGTGTTACCAGTGCTTGGTCTTTCAACATTTCTTTTTTAACCACTAATAACTGGACCAAATAAATGATAACAATAGTTAAAACAAAAAAGATTAGTAACATACAAAACGGAAATCGAAAGTTAAAAAGGATGCAATTTTACCTTTTCGGGCGCTTCATATTATTTTTTGCGAACTAACGCTTTTCCATGGTATCTCCCTAACAAAATAGATAGGTCACTTAATCATGAGTTTATAGTGAGTTCAATGCAAGGCAAAATAATCGACAGGTCATGTTTAAAAGAAAACATAATTTGAATCAACCTATCTGCTATTATATGATACCTAATGTGTAATTTTAACATAAACAGCATGATTGGTGCCATTGGTGGAGTAGTAAATGCTGAATATTCTGGGCACCTGAGTTTATCTCAGTCTTTGGTGGGGTTCGTGATCCTCTGTCTACAGTTTTCTGTAGAGTTTTTTGAGGATCGATGCTTATTTTGTGTGTGTTTTCATCGTGTCATCTGGTATGTACGGTTTCTCAGTGATAGGTGATTTTTTTTATGAATAGAATGGTTGAATGATCATTGAAAACATGAATTAAAGGAGAGTATTTTTTTTTTATGAATAGAATGGTTGAATGATCATTGAAACATGAATTAAAGGAGAGTATTTTTTTTTGTGAATAGAATGGTTGAATGATCATTGAAAACATGAATTAAAGGAGAGTATTTTTTTTATGAATAGAATGGTTGATTGATCATTGAAAACATGAATTAAAGGAGAGTAGGTGACTTCAATGAGACAGTTATCGCTATAACAACAAAAAAAGTCACCTTCAACAATAAACAGGTTGTCTATATACTCAACTTTAGCGAGTTCTAAATTTCCCTGATACTGGACAAGAGGTGACCAAGTTCAACAGAGACTATCAAAAATCTGCTATTACCACAAAATCACCCCCCCCCCCCCACCCCCCATGAAAAAAACCAAATACAATATGACAAAAGACCACTATAAACGACTGATCTTCCTTACTTGGAGAAACGCATGTTCATATTATTTTAAATGCGCATTTAGAAAATTTTAAATTTCAAACTTTTTTATTAATTCAGTGGAGAATATAAAATATATCCTGGAAAATTGGCAATGAGAGTCAAAGTAATTAAAATCCCCATATGTAACGCTAATAAAAACAATTAAATCATTACCTCAAATATTGAAGTAATCCTTGTCATATTTTCCCGGTCAATATAATTTGAACACATCAAACGTAATGTGTGCACAAAGAATCAACTTTGAAAAACCCTTTTTTATTTTAGTTTCCGCCTGGGTAGTAAACCGCAAATTGATAATAAATGTATTTAGTAAGATTAAACTGAAAATAAGACCCAAAATATAAGATGGCAAAAATGGGGTATCAGAAACAATCCCGTTTGGGACAAAAGAAATTGGGTGGGCAGAAGGGTTCGAATGTAAAATGAGTCATTATATGAATGTTGATCCAGACCATAATAGTAACAAATAACAAGATGTTCTTAGGAGTCTTTACGATAACGTTAGGAAGCATTTGCAAAATTAATTAAAACATCATCATCATTGTTTAGTTATCATTATCCTAGGTTTCCCTCTCTTAAATATCATTATTTGTTTGTCGTTTTATAGGTTTTGCAATATTTCATTCGTCGTTGTTTTCATACAGGTTTACAAGTGTGTACACTTGTTGCACAATATGTAACAAACAAACTGTGACGAAACTTCTCAGTGATAATTAAGGTATTTTGATAAATAATGATATGTATTTCCTAATTCTTTGTTTTTGATCATCGTCACAACAAATCCATGTCATTATAAACACTAGTACATAGATCAATACCTCTCATCGATGTGTAAGGAAAACAATAACACGTGATTTTTCCCATTGACGTATTTGCGGTTTCACGGTTGATAGTAACGGACGAGTCTATTTTAAAGAGGGATATCAATAACATATATACGGACGAGTTTTAACTTTTTGTTCCATTTCCAAATATTCAGCGAAAATTACTGGCAATATCTAATATTTCTAATCGAACTTATCCGTTTCTAGTGAACTGCATACATTCTGCCAGTACGGAAAGGACTACACTTTACTATCGAAAACTTATCTGCACTTAGCATATCTTCGTTGGACGTTTCCCAGTTATAACTCACTGAACATAAACATTTGATATTTCATTGTGTGCTTAAAAATCTTGCAGTGAGTGTTAAATTTTAAAAAAAACCAAGCAAATTGGAAAATGGAAAATAAGGAAAGTGTAGCTTGCTGCCTTGCGCAAAATAACAATGACTTTTCAAGAGCAAGCCACACGCGCATATTTGTTTGTCCTACAACTGGAGGAAAGCTTGAACTCAAAGTGTCAGGAAACGAAACTGTGCAAGGACTGAAATATTTTATTTCAAGAAAACTGCGTATTCAACATGAGAGGATCAAGTTACTGCATAGAAACAGGTAGGAACGAAAAGTTTTATTACTTTTAAAACTTTTAAAGCAATATTGCTACTCCCGGAATTAGCTTGAATAGTTTTGTTTTGTGTACTGTTGATTGCTTTAATTACTTCGTCAATTAAGGTGATAAAAGACATGTATTTTTGTTTTACTTTGTTGACATTGTCCTGTCAAAATCAGAATGCAATCTGCAGCCATTCAAGCAGACTGGTTTTTTTTACGTTTCTCTTTCTTGGAATTACATAGAAAAAGTTTAAACTTCCTTGTCGTGAAATTTAATTGGTGATATGACTTTCACTCCTTAGCAATATTGATTTGAACGAAAGGGTGGCACACTCACCGATGAATATGACCCAGTCCGCGGGGGCAATCAGCTGACTCAGTGACCTAGATATTCCTTTTATCGGTAGTGATCAGTAAATGAAATTTACATTTCTTAATCACCTGGTTGAATTTGGAAATAGCATTTCGTGTATTATATCAATATCTAGTTACTACTCTTAAGTGGTGCAATTTAAGAGTAGTTCGTGTACGCTGGATAGAATGTCTTCAAAATTAGTTTAATGATAACTATTGTAATGTTCTGCGTTTTTAATTTTATCTCGATTAAGCACCAAAAAAAAAAACACCGATAAGAGGGTCAAAGGCATTCTTACAATTTCAATCACTGCAGAATATTAAATTGACATTTCTCTCGGTCCAGATTTTCAATTTCCGATGAGCAGACAAATTTCTACGTCCTACATTTTCTCTTGGGTCCAACAGAATAGCTCTATATAATCTGATTCTTTCAGCCTATCTCCATTACGTTCCCAATCATTACATTTAAACCTGCAATCAATACAAATGCTTTTAGATATGAAAGGTCAGGAATCAATGGGCACCATTGTTCTTTTTTTCTACTGTCAATAATCATATGTACGTTCGATGAATAGTATAACAAATCGTATTTAAGAGAACAATGGTCGGAAATACGGTTTTCTTTGAAAAGTGAAATAGAAAATTCTATAAAGAAATAAACATTTAGTAATACGCTGTTTCGAATTTTATACACGCTAAGATTCATAGTGTCTGTTCGAATACGAGATCATTTTAAGTGTCTTTTTTTATAAAACTTGTCGTAAATCTTAAGGACAGTAGCGACTATTACAAAATATATAACAAGCATCTTATACAATGCTGTATTTAAAATTGATGTCCCGACTAATCAGCTGTGATTTGCCGCCCACACTTCAGCTTCCAATAACAGTTTTGAGATATATGTCATTATGTTGTATATCTAATCTGAACTGCGGTTAACCACAAACGGGGCTTTTGAAGGCAGATTCCAAAAGCTGATATATTTTACATCACTAGACAATGTAAACGGAGCCGTTTGCCACAATGATGGAGTATTCTTTTGAGAATATTGATTTAACTATACGATATTTATTGTAAATTGTAAGCGTCCCCACGAGAGAACCTATAATCATTACTGACACCAGAAAAGCCACATCAGTTAATGATCAACGATTTATATAAATAAACTCTAGGCATTAAATACAACCGCAAAACATTATTTTATAGTAATGCATTACAAAAACCACAAGATCGGTGCAACAATTATTGTAATGTCATATTTATTCCATGCATATTTATGATTAACATGGTATTTTAGGTTTTCTATGGAAATAAATTTTTCAAATGTATTCGTTTATATTTGTTAACATTCACATGAAATCTTACATACGAATATATGTTTTCGTGTATGATAAAGTTCGTGGCATTAAATATGACGCTTACGTTGACCTTTCTATATCTTGAAACAGATGTATGTAAATTTAGAAACATGGAATGATCTGACTAAATGTCAGTTTGTTACGTTTAATCATGGACAAGTTGTTATATTGACACATAGTTATTTATGAGTTAATATGGACTGACCATGTGTCGATTTTCTTGTTAATATGTAACACTACTGTATGTAAGGAAGCCTTGCAACAGCTGTAATTTATCAGTCATGAAACACCTCCACAAAAATTTGGCAGTAGCCTGTGTGGGCAGCCAAGAAGGGGGGTCATAAACCTTCAAACATGAACTGTGTCAATGACTTACACACAAGAGTTTACTGTTTTCCAATTTTTGACAAATTATATCATGCTGATTATGTATTAGTATAACATCTTCTCTCAACCATATCAAATAAGTAGTTATAAATAATATGTATTATTGTTTATTTTACATTCGTCAAGGTGAACAATTTGAAATATCACGTTCTCGCATATAAGGTTCAAAATAAAGGACTTCCTTCATCTATACTATAAGTATAAGGGTAAATAACTGAAGAAAAAGTAAACATAAATAAAATACAGTAACATATCATGCACAAAGTAAAGTGAACTGAATTTGGCAGGAGGCCTGTGAGTTATTTTGTGGAGGAGGACAACACTTAATCCGAATAAACAAATCTCGCCTCCTCACCTTTTATTTTTTATACCTTTCGTCAATATATATTTGGTACATTCGGTATGTAAATACATTTTTGCAACAAGTTATGACAAAATTTTGCAATAACATTAAAACATCGATTCGTTTCTTCAACTGGTTCTTAAAACATAAATCTGAACTGAAGTTCGATTAAATCACGAGAAAAGTCTTTGACGTAAAACTCCGCATTAAGGCTTGAAAATAAATCAACATTTTTTTCTTTCAAGATACACCTCAGTTCATTTAAAAGGTTAGCTGTCATTGCAAGATGATTATATAGACATATATCAAAGTATAAATTCAACTTGCTCCTCATAAAACGAAAGGTCATACGGTAGTTATACATCACAATAAAAATGTATATAATTCAATATGATAGTCAGTCTGATCTAAGAATTTTAGCAAATATCAAAAATTTCATATTGTGAAGTATAAAATGTCGACGGAACTGAACTTTTAAATGACATTTACAATTCACTGTTTTATTGTATTGCAAACAGTAATCAAATAAATACCATCGTTGCTATTAAGTTAAATTTTAAAATTAGTGATGACTCTACTGAAAATCTAAGATAAAAACAATTACTTACTCTTTCTATTAACATCTTTATTCTACTCATGAAATTTGCTGATGTATGATTTTTAGTTTGTGTATAAACTGGTGTAGATTTCCAATTTATTAATACAAATGTTTTTTGAACTCAAACAACCTGGGGCGATTTCATGTTACTTTTCAAAATAAATCAGAATTTACGCCTGTCTGTTTAACATCATGGTATGACGACCTTTCATCTTAAATTCACAATCCAAAAACTATACCGCAACATCAATGTAGACCACCAGTTTTTCTAAATGACTTCTATCTAGAATGCAAAATGAAGTGACATACCAACTTTGACAAGGACTTCATCTTCGATATCATAGACTTTTTATCTAATGCCTGCTTTTGGTTGCATTTTTGGAATTCTTATGGTTTTAAAGTCAGGCCTATGTCGGACAACGGATGGCTGAATATCTAGGAAAAGATTATTAAGTTATAATACAATTTAGGGTCGGTCGAGAATTAAACTAAATAAAAAAAAGATAAGTTAACTTTTCCCATTGTGAACTTTCCATCTTTGAGTAGCAAAGTTCCAGCAGCTTCTGCATATGCATGGAGTGGTAACCTCCAAGCTTTTTCTATTAGATTTTCTTGAAAGAGGATTGATCCTTACACAGAAGCTATCGAACCAAGGGTTACAAATGGTAATGTTGATATAATTATTTTGACGTTTTAGTGAACTATCATGATCTTGTTGTAAAAATTGTGAAATACGGCTTAAACGAATTCATCGTTGAGGACTTGGCCCGACTGTATAGAGATGAAGAGCAGCAAAACAAAACTATGATACTCTGATATATTTGGTATTTCTTGGTATTTAATCTGATACGTTCATATTGATATCAATTTAAATGATTGTCATAAGAAGGGACAGCTTTTAATTGTAGAAATGAAGATACTACAAAAATTTTATAAACACTTTAAAGATTTGCACAGTAAATATATAACCATATCACCCTGGTTTAGAATCCACTACAAGATACAGTTTTTGTTGTGGATTCCATGTGTAAACCTGTTTACGAAATTCTCAGTATAAGAGCTACGCAATGAAACTTTTAAAGAGGTGGATAATCAATATCCGCATCAAGCTGGACAAGACATTTCAATCGCAAGGTACTAATACCGTCTTCTTATAAATGTTTACTATTAAGATAAATATTAATATCTGGTTGACCTTTTACTTAACGACTATGTTAGGCACAGTATATATTAGCAATAAAGTGTTGACCTTTACGTGGTCAGACAATAATTGCAATATCGCATGAAATGCCAGCAGCTATGATGCCCTGTAGAATACTCTAACTTCTTTATCATTTAACCTTTGACCTTAAATGTTTCTTAAGGAAATGCAATTTATCAAGTTTACAACTACATGGAGTAGATTGTATTGCAAAGTGTATGCATGGAGAGTATCTTATATTGTATTGTTATACTATTATTTAAAAGTTTGCTGACAATTTGTTACGTATTTCCTTTCTTCTTAGAATAAACACGTTAATGGTAATAGTATGATCACCCTATTTAATATTAAAAAAAAAGATAAAATTTGAGAAACCACAGGTCAGTCTAAGAATAATTGTAGGAAGAAGAAAGTTCTCGCCACAGACAGTTTGGACATACAATGACCTAAGAACTATAGATAATGATATACTTAAACAGTGGCAACCTTTATAATAAACAAGTGGCAACCTTTATAATAAACAATGTTGAAAGGTGATAATTATTTGAACAAACTGTTTCGTTCCTGTTAATAATCTCCGTACAATATGAGACCAAATTCAACTGCTAATACAACAGTAAAGCTGAGTGCAAATTCTGCACTAAATGACGATTTTAGAATTGAATATACAAGGAGCAAACCAATATTTGTCACTGACTTAACCTAGAAAATGAATATGTTACAAGGTGTGAAGACAAAAATAAATATGGTACACCACACGACATAAATTAGGAGTGCGTTATATATTTGATGTCTTTAAACTTATTTATGCGAGGGTGAACTACGACTTAAATTGCCTCAGTTTTTAATTACATCATCATGATTAATGACCTTGGAATAGGTCAATATTCCTTTATTTCGTCTTAGTTGTAATTTTATTTGACATGTTTATATTAGGGATTTTTTTTCAAATTAAAATGGAAATGAATGTGGAGTGTTTATAGTGAAGCTAAATGTTTTAATTACAATCAGCACATGGTCATGATTACGTTTGTTATCTAGAGAGGAACATTTACATTATTATTCTCCAAAGGCAATACCATTCTGTGACTGCTTAATTTATTTCCGATCCGTTCACAAAGAATATATTATATGACAATACTACGAGTTTTACCTCTACTGTCGATCCCAGAAGTAAACCACCATGGATAGAACTGCAGATCTACGTAAATTAAGTATATTCAATCCTTAAATCAAATTTCTATAACTTCCGCACTAATACCACGGGAGTCCTACTTTCGCTAATTCGACAACCAATACGCTGAATCATTCCGGTTCATAGAGTGTATTTCTAGTCCACAAATAGTAATAAATTTCAATAAACAATACTTATATAAGATCATTCTGAATATAAGGTCATATTACCATTTAAGGTATGATTTGCGAGATAGTCAATAAGTCACGAAGGACGTTTAAATATGAAAAGTGAATCGCTTATGTTTCATAAATACTGACATAACACTGAATCACGTGTTGACTAAATTCATCTTTTCCCTCTAATGATTCAATAGTAAACATACAGACTATATTATCATAATAAATGGAGAGTATGAATGGGAAAATGTAAATACGATCTAATCTATTAACCAGACATACAATGCTTAAGTATGGACGTTTAAGTTTGGCTTTTCGAAGAAAATTTCATCGTTTAGAATTTCTCATTAGTGGGAGATGCTGATTAGCCAGCCCGGGGCTGACAAAAACATACGAGACTGTTAGATCAATGAATGACGTCAATGGATACATTAAGTGGATGGTTTTAATGTCAAGAGTTTGTGTAATATGTATCCTTCACCTTCTAATGCAAATAAACATCTTAGTGAATGTAGAAGGCAGTTATTGACAATTAATCCTCTCTCTCGTGATGTCAACGCACTACATTCTAAATGTCAAAATAAAAGGAAGTGATAAACAGTAGGCAAGAGTTTTCTGTAGGCTCGTCTGAAGACGTTAATATAACAATTACTTTCTCATCTCATTGTGATTAAAATTCTAAGAATGACGATTCTCATTTGATCATAATTATGTTTTATTGACCTTTGTAGTTCTCATTTTCTTCAGCCTGTGTCATCTAAATGGGGTTGGTATCAATCGTAATGAAAAGAGAGGCGAAGTGATGTCCCAAATCGCATATAAAGATTCATCAAAATACTGATGTAAAGATTGTAACGGAAAACTTAAAACTTTTAAGTTTAATCTTCCGACCATCTTTAAAATCATTCGTATTACAATGGCGTCCACATGTAAGCGATGTAAAGAACAAAGGCATCCGTGAAAAGTCCTTCTCTATTTTGAGATTGTTGGTATATTTGATACTTCTAAGTGAATATTCATTTCAACAGTCGTAAATGAAGCATCGATTATCTAAACTTTAAAATCATTTGTATAAATATTGTCTAGGTAATATACATAAATGTTATATACATTTGTGTGTGTCTGTCTGTGTGTGTGTGTGTGTGGTATATCAAGAAAGCGTGACTGCATTAAATGTTTCTACAAAATCCATAAATTTTATGATGTAGGGAATTTTCTTTAATTTATGATGAACGAAATTTTTTGAAATTTTAAGTTCCAATGAATCTTTATGACAATAAAAAAAATTAACCACATAAGCTATCTAAAATATTCAGTGCCATCACTTCAAACACTTTATTGAATCTAACGGAACGCTTTCAAAGTGTGTTTAAAACTCCCTAAATCATATAGCATGAATAAACCGTTTTGTTGACTTGATTTGCTTTTTTAACTTGATTATATAATTATAACTTGCATCCAACTCTTACATAGTTTTGGACTAATTTGTGCGGAATGTTGTATAGTTAGATTCAGCACTAGGTTTTTATTTAACCATTAACTTAAGTTTTATAGTTAAGTGAACCGCCTTGGTAGCGTCGTACACAGGTACTTGTCTATGAATTTTTCCCCCTATATACCTTAATACAACTTGAGGTATAAAGGATTTTTTTCATTGACAAGTGCCTGTGGTGTCGTGGTAGCGTGCTCGCCTTCAGTTCAGGTGATCGTTGGTTCGAGCCCCAGCCGGTAAAAACAAAGACTTGAAAATTGGTTTTACTTAGCGTGCTCGCCTTGAGTTCAGGTGATCGTGGGTATGAGCCCCAGCCGGTAAAAAAAAGACTTGAAAATTGGGTTTACTTCTTTTCCGCTGATTGGATCGGAGTCAGAAAAATGTGCCCCGGGTTGAGCGACATGTCTTCCTAGCAATTGTCACCTTGTGAACTTGCACACTAAAAATCGAACTAGCGTGTCGGTTTAGTACAAAGCAGGGGTCATACTTATACTATGTACAGTAACATGTTCTGGTCCCGATATGCATGTAATGTTCGCCACTGGAGGTTAAACACCGATAGAACATCATCATATAGTTAAGTAAACACAAACCATACCAGTCAGACAATGCAAATTATACCTTCATTTCCTTTCATAGCCTAAAGACTTAACCGTATTTAATCATATGTACAACGTGATATGCTAAACAAACATCTATACATGTAGGATGTTCGGAATTCAGTATTATCATAATGATAATACAAATATGTAGGTGGATAATGCTCTAAAGACTTTTGCCTATGGACAGCTGATATATACCGATTAAAGATTAGACAAAACAATGATAAACTTTGGTTTTTGAGTGGTCTTGTTATATTCTGAGACTAATATTTTACACTTACTTTGTGTAATAGTAGTCTCAGATATGACCAGACATATTTTTCTGCCCGACTTTTGTTTTTTTACGCTATTGTTTTATATCGTATACTGAACTTCAAATGTATCTAATGAAATGTTGTAAGAACGAGAGACACATGGCATTATAACATATTATTTCAATGTCGAAATTTCTAATGCTAGCTCGATCTATTGCTTCCTTTGAGAAAAAATCAACGCTTTACGTGTCTACCATTTTCCACAGAGGCGAATTTTATTTGAAACATATATATAACTAATAATTGTTAAGAAATTCTCTCTTATAAGGAAGTTGTATTTACGCCATACAATCTTAAACTCCGCTGTGGCCTTGTTAAATTTTTGTTTACAGTAAGCAGTAGGTTGCTTGGATTGTTGTTAAATTTAATACCTATTATAACAATTATAAATTGTTACACGTGTAGGCGTTTAATCTAGTTCGTGTATGGACGTCTGATCCACTTCAATACACCTTTAAGAATTATGATGAGTTTGTCCTTGCTCTCAATTTGTTATTGCAGATCAAAAATATGATAAATTTGTTTAAACTTTAGAAATAGCAATCATTATATAATATCGAGTACAAACAAAAAATTCTTCGAAATCATTTTAGTTGTGCCAGATAATTTATATATCATGCTATGAATATAATTATGATCATGTAAAGAATATATTTTAACAGTAACCTTCAAATCTTTTACAGATTACTGAACCATGGAACTCTAAGAGAAAATAACGTAACAGATAACAGCAAAATTACTCTTATACCGCATTTAGAAAGTGGATTAACAGTAAGTCACGATATATCAGTAAAAATATTAGGTGAAAAATGTGTACCCAAGCTTAACAAAGTGCACAAAGAAAAATTTTAACCTAGTTTACGTACAAGTTCTTTTATTGGGTAGATAAAAGTTTACTTAACAAATCAAAGTAAATAAAAAAAAAACGAAGAACAAATAATTGGGTTTTAAAAGTAAATTGGAAATTCTATATCCTGTAAGTCCTATTAATAATATTGACGGAAATTCCATCAGTACTTCCCCGAATTTGTTTAAAAAAACTATTTTTTGTGCAGTGTTGTTTGCGACTAACTTAAACACACCCACCTGCATACACCTTAAGTTGTATTTTTTCAAACAGAATATTCATATCTTATTATTACATCATGCAAAATACCTTGGTACTTGTTCACTGAATGTATTTTTTTTTTATTTCAGTTTCAGAAGGATAACTCCAATGTTTTAAAAGCTTTAGAAAGTTTAACTGATTCTCAGGTTAGTGTGATTTTAAAAATAAATAAAAATATTTCTAACAGGTACACAAATGCCTGCAGATAAGATTTCCCACAAAATGTTTGAATTAAAATAGCAGCATCTGTTTAAATGTATGAACAAACTATTTACCAAATATAAGAGCTTTCCCTAAAAAATATCAGAAAAGATGTGATTAAGGCTTATGAGTATGTAGGCACATGAAAGATGTTTATGAAATATTACTCTAACAAAAATGACTTAAGTACATTGTCCATAAATGTAACATTAAAATGATCATCTTAATACCATCAGCCAACTTTTTTTCAATATTGACTTTCACAAGAAGACTTTTGATTGATTGATTGATTGATTGTCGGTAGTTTAATGTCCAGTGGCAAATATTTCATGCATGTTATTGACGAGAAGAATTTTGAAAAGTTATGTTGCATTAAACTTAAAGCCAAAGCCGAATAGGAATTTATAAGTGGACATATATCCATTAAAAAGGCTCAAATCAAAATTCAAATATAAAAGAAACATCTGAATGTCATACCAAAAACTGCTGACTTTTTTTATACATTTCAAAGGAGATGCAATAACAAGGTCGATATAAAAACAAGGCTTTTATTTGAAAATGTTTCTTTCTGCCAAATTTAACAGCTATCCCTAAACAGACACACTAAGAAAAGGCATCAGGTTAAAATACATGTTTATATAAAGATTGTTTAATTTCACTTGATGAATATAGAGATGCGTTTGTATATTAAATGTCCAAATATTTGATATCAGGTGAATGATTTCCTGTCTGGAAAAGCACCATTAGTGCTGGGAATGAGAGTAGCTGACCACATTGTGTTCATTCAACTCCAACTATCAACGTACCAAAGTCGAAGACATCACCGTCCAGCACCTGTTAAAGTCCCATCTAATTCTTCTGTCAAAGATCATCAAGAAGTTCCTTCACCAACAACTACTCCTGATCATAACAGCTTCACAAACTACAGACAATATGAACACTGTGTGAAGGTATATATCTTGTATAGACTTGATGTTTACAGGAATATATAGCTACCATTACAAGAGAGTATTCCCTGATGTATTATGGTTGAAAATTCACTTTTTGTATGGATATATGAAAGATTTATTATCAGAAGTCAAGTTGAAAATAGTAAACAACATAATTCAATACACATCAAAGGTTATCTTCCCTAGATCATTACCCTTTGCTAGCGAAGATGATCGTAGGTTTAAAACATATCCAGAATAAAAATATCGGAAATTCAGTCCTGATTGACTCATTTTGGTGAAATTTCTTATAAAAATTATATATAATTTATAAAAAAAATAAACCAATGAAAATTAGAATTTCCTTTACATAAAGATATTATACCTATTTCAGTGTTAACAACATATTTCTGGAATAACGTTGTAAGACAAGCTCACAAGCAAGAACTTGGAAAGCCAAATTAATGTAAAATGTGAGAGCATTAAAAACTAAAAGGGTGAAACATAAAGGTTCACACAACAAGATTTGAATTATAAGACTTTCTTGTACACATGCAAACATTAATACCAGATGGTAAACTAATAATAAAACGTTTTAAACAAATAAAATCAAAATCTAAAAAAAGGTAGTTTTCCCTGATTGCTATATTAGATCAAGTAAATCTTAAACAACAATTTTATATAAAATTTGGGGATTACTGAAGAAACCAAAAACATAGGCTCTGTTCCTTTCCCCCTACTGTAGAAAGGAAATGTAATAAAAATAAGAAAATCCAGCAGGAAAGACAAGACGGAGAAATCAATAAATAAACAGGTACTCTGGCACTTAGTATTCTGTTCAGCAGTAACATTCTATTCATTACAGTTAAATATATAATTGTATATGGTACAGTTGTTACAATGATACTTAAGAAGAACGACAACATTTCTTTAAATTCAAAATAGACAAACAAGAAGTCACTTTGTGCGTACCTTTCAATAGTATCGTCATAAATATTCACATTTATATGCCTTAATGAATATATTAAAACTACCAATTATGTTCAGAATAGAAATTTACGGTCATTTTATTACTACTTGTTGGGATGATATTTTGCACCTGCTACTATAAGACATTCATTTTGTCTATTCAAAGAATTAAATTGTAAAATAAACTGAAATTGTTAGTTCAAAAATGTGAAGTTGCCAAATATGAATACATTTCTGTAATACTATTCAAAATTCAAGATATGCCTTAATTAGAACATTGACGAATGTATAATACTAAAATATATGACGAAATTCCATGAAAAAAATATAACCTACGTCTTTCATATTGGCATTATAGTATCCATTATAACATGTAAGAAAATAGGAGTGATAAATGATAAACATAAATATAGAATAGTATTTATAGAATACATCCAATTAAATAGCTCTGAATGTAATGTTAGGGGTGTGATAAATAGAGAAAGAAGACCATAGAGTAATTTTTTAATATTTCTATTCCTGTATCATTGTGAATATAATATATACTTTTGATAGAAATTAATGAATGACTGTCAAGTTTAGGTACAATTATATGACGAAGACTTCGCTATTTTTTTCACAATATGCACTATAATTATAACCAATATCTCGTGGTGTTCAGAATGACAGGGACTCAATTAATATAAAAAAGGAGATGTGGTATCATTGCCAATAAGGCAAGTCACAACTATCCACCAGAGTTCAAATAAGAGGATATAAGCAATTGTAGGTAACAGTATGGCCTTCAACAATGAGAAAAACTCATATCGTATAGTCAGCTATAAAAGGTCCTAACATGAAAAATGTGAAACAATTCAAATGAGAAAACTAACAGCCTAATTTATAACAAAACAATTTACGAAAAACAAACATGACAGACATGAACCAACGACAACCGCTGAACTACAGGTGCCTTGATTAGCAGATATACATTTTTTCCATCTTTGTAAATCAAATTTTTTTTCATAATTTCCTGTCAATTTGTATTGATAATTAACATTGGTACCAAGATTTGTATATATTATCCATGTCCATATACTGAAAAATCCTAGTTCCAATGATAAAAACACAATTTATATTCCCTATTAACCAAGTCCCTGTGTTCAGAATAACACAAATGATACATTTACTAGTAGTTAACATAGTAATATTCTGAATCTCTTTCAGAATACAGATTTATCATCAAATCATCAACTAACATTTACTTTTAGTTAACATAGAATTATGCTCTCTTTCAGAGTACAGATTTATCATCAAATCATCAACTAACATTTACTTTTAGTTAACATAGAATTATACTCTCTTTCAGAATACAGATTTATCATCAAATCATCAACTAACATATACTTGTAGTTAACATAGAATTATATTCTCTTTCAGAATACAGATTTATCTAACATTTACTTGTAGTTAACATAGAATTATACTCTCTTTCAGAATACAGATTTATCATCAAATCATCAACTAACATTTACTTGTAGTTAACATAGAATTATATTCTCTTTCAGAGTACAGATTTATCATCAAATCATCAACTAACATTTACTTGTAGTTAACATAGAATTATATTCTCTTTCAGAATACAGATTTATCATCAAATCATCAACTAACATTTACTTGTAGTTAACATAGAATTATATTCTCTTTCAGAGTACAGATTTATCATCAAGTCATCAACTAACATTTACTTGTAGTTAACATAGAATTATACTCTCTTTCAGATACAGATTTATCTAACATTTACTTGTAGTTAACATAGAATTATACTCTCTTTCAGATACAGATTTATCTAACATTTACTTGTAGTTAACATAGAATTATATTCTCTTTCAGAATACAGATTTATCTAACATTTACTTGTAGTTAACATAGAATTATACTCTCTTTCAGAATACAGATTTATCTAACATTTACTTGTAGTTAACATAGAATTATATTCTCTTTCAGAATACAGATTTATCTAACATTTACTTGTAGTTAACATAGAATTATATTCTCTTTCAGAATACAGATTTATCATCAAATCATCAACTAACATTTACTTGTAGTAAACATAGAATTATGCTCTCTTTCAGAATACAGATTTATCATCAAATCATCAACTAACATTTACTTGTAGTTAACATAGAATTATACTCTCTTTCAGAGTACAGATTTATCATCAAATCATCAACTAACATTTACTTGTAGTTAACATAGAATTATACTCTCTTTCAGAGTACAGATTTATCATCAAATCATCAACTAACATTTACTTGTAGTTAACATAGAATTATATTCTCTTTCAGAATACAGATTTATCTAACATTTACTTGTAGTTAACATAGAATTATATTCTCTTTCAGAATACAGATTTATCTAACATTTACTTGTAGTTAACATAGAATTATGCTCTCTTTCAGAATACAGATTTATCTAACATTTACTTGTAGTTAACATAGAATTATATTCTCTTTCAGAATACAGATTTATCATCAAATCATCAAATAACATTTACTTGTAGTAAACATAGAATTATATTCTCTTTCAGAGTACAGATTTATCATCAAATCATCAACTAACATTTACTTGTAGTTAACATAGAATTATATTCTCTTTCAGAGTACAGATTTATCATCAAATCATCAACTAACATTTACTTGTAGTTAACATAGAATTATATTCTCTTTCAGAATACAGATTTATCATCAAATCATCAACTAACATTTACTTGTAGTTAACATAGAATTATATTCTCTTTCAGAGTACAGATTTATCATCAAGTCATCAACTAACATTTACTTGTAGTTAACATAGAATTATACTCTCTTTCAGATACAGATTTATCTAACATTTACTTGTAGTTAACATAGAATTATACTCTCTTTCAGATACAGATTTATCTAACATTTACTTGTAGTTAACATAGAATTATATTCTCTTTCAGAATACAGATTTATCTAACATTTACTTGTAGTTAACATAGAATTATACTCTCTTTCAGAATACAGATTTATCTAACATTTACTTGTAGTTAACATAGAATTATATTCTCTTTCAGAATACAGATTTATCTAACATTTACTTGTAGTTAACATAGAATTATACTCTCTTTCAGAATACAGATTTATCATCAAATCATCAACTAACATTTACTTGTAGTTAACATAGAATTATACTCTCTTTCAGAATACAGATTTATCTAACATTTACTTGTAGTTAACATAGAATTATGCTCTCTTTCAGAATACAGATTTATCTAACATTTACTTGTAGTTAACATAGAATTATACTCTCTTTCAGAATACAGATTTATCTAACATTTACTTGTAGTTAACATAGAATTATGCTCTCTTTCAGAGTACAGATTTATCATCAAATCATCAACTAACATTTACTTGTAGTTAACATAGAATTATACTCTCTTTCAGAATACAGATTTATCTAACATTTACTTGTAGTTAACATAGAATTATACTCTCTTTCAGAATACAGATTTATCTAATATTTACTTGTAGTTAACATAGAATTATACTCTCTTTCAGAATACAGATTTATCATCAAATCATCAACTAACATTTACTTGTAGTTAACATAGAATTATACTCTCTTTCAGAATACAGATTTATCATCAAATCATCAACTAACATTTACTTGTAGTTAACATAGAATTATACTCTCTTTCAGAATACAGATTTATCTAACATTTACTTGTAGTTAACATAGAATTATGCTCTCTTTCAGAATACAGATTTATCTAACATTTACTTGTAGTTAACATAGAATTATACTCTCTTTCAGAATACAGATTTATCTAACATTTACTTGTAGTTAACATAGAATTATGCTCTCTTTCAGAGTACAGATTTATCATCAAATCATCAACTAACATTTACTTGTAGTTAACATAGAATTATACTCTCTTTCAGAATACAGATTTATCTAACATTTACTTGTAGTTAACATAGAATTATACTCTCTTTCAGAATACAGATTTATCTAATATTTACTTGTAGTTAACATAGAATTATACTCTCTTTCAGAATACAGATTTATCATCAAATCATCAACTAACATTTACTTGTAGTTAACATAGAATTATACTCTCTTTCAGAATACAGATTTATCTAATATTTACTTGTAGTTAACATAGAATTATACTCTCTTTCAGAATACAGATTTATCTAACATTTACTTGTAGTTAACATAGAATTATACTCTCTTTCAGAATACAGATTTATCTAATATTTACTTGTAGTTAACATAGAATTATACTCTCTTTCAGAATACAGATTTATCATCAAATCATCAACTAACATTTACTTGTAGTTAACATAGAATTATACTCTCTTTCAGAATACAGATTTATCTAATATTTACTTGTAGTTAACATAGAATTATACTCTCTTTCAGAATACAGATTTATCTAACATTTACTTGTAGTTAACATAGAATTATGCTCTCTTTCAGAATACAGATTTATCTAACATTTACTTGTAGTTAACATAGAATTATACTCTCTTTCAGAATACAGATTTATCATCAAATCATCAACTAACATTTACTTGTAGTTAACATAGAATTATACTCTCTTTCAGAATACAGATTTATCTAACATTTACTTGTAGTTAACATAGAATTATACTCTCTTTCAGAATACAGATTTATCTAACATTTACTTGTAGTTAACATAGAATTATGCTTTTTTCAGAATACAGATTTATCTAACATTTACTTGTAGTTAACATAGAATTATGCTCTCTTTCAGAATACAGATTTATCTAACATTTACTTGTAGTTAACATAGAATTATACTCTCTTTCAGAATACAGATTTATCATCAAATCATCAACTAACATTTACTTGTAGTTAACATAGAATTATACTCTCTTTCAGAATACAGATTTATCTAACATTTACTTGTAGTTAACATAGAATTATACTCTCTTTCAGAATACAGATTTATCTAACATTTACTTGTAGTTAACATAGAATTATACTCTCTTTCAGAATACAGATTTATCTAACATTTACTTGTAGTTAACATAGAATTATGCTCTCTTTCAGAATACAGATTTATCTAACATTTACTTGTAGTTAACATAGAATTATACTCTCTTTCAGAATACAGATTTATCATCAAATCATCAACTAACATTTACTTGTAGTTAACATAGAATTATACTCTCTTTCAGAATACAGATTTATCTAACATTTACTTGTAGTTAACATAGAATTATACTCTCTTTCAGAATACAGATTTATCTAACATTTACTTGTAGTTAACATAGAATTATGCTCTCTTTCAGAATACAGATTTATCATCAAATCATCCATCCTCACCATCACAACATAACTCTGGTGCAGTTATTCACAGAATGCAACATCTTGGTCAAGGCATATACTCAGGGACATTTTCAGGTTAGTTTCTGGGTTTTTTGGAAAAAGTTAAAACAAACAACATCTTCAAGTTAAGAAAACTGTAAACTAGCCATGAACTAAAGGAATATAAAATAGACAAAAAGGCTAACAGGACAAAATCCAACAATGAAATACAGCAACCCACAAAAGAGAAAAAGACAAGGAACATTATTGTGACTAGCTTTCCCCTATGTGATCCTACAATTTATGTCAGTATTTTTTATGTTTAAAGATACTGTTGTACATGATATCTGAGTAATACAAGAGATGGTGTCTGAGCATATTATCATGCCGAATCTTATATACTGTTTAAATATATGTTATCCTAAAATAAGCCCTGGTGTTAAGTACAATCTCAGAAAATACATGCCACTTGAAATCACTACCTAAAGTTTATACTTTAGTTTAACTGGAATATAATGTTTTGTACAAATTAGCCTAAAGATTGTAACCTGTTTCACATTTCTGGAAATTTAGCCCTTAATTTAACTGGAACTCAAGAAAACATGTGTGAAAGTGTAATGGCAATTGTCAATCAAGAAAATGCTTGGTTACTTCTGGGTTCTTTTAAATGATATATTCTGCAAAAGTTATGGATGTATCTATTAGGTCAATTGCTTATATAAGCATTTATTTTTCCTGACTGAAATTTTTTTTCAATCCAATTTGTTATCAACTTCCTATTTTTTCTTGCAGGTGTTTTAGACCCTTCTGTTCAAGAGAGAGATGGGCAGCCAAGACGTAATATTAGTACAATAGCAAATATATTGAATGATCTGTTAGGAGCATCTCCCAGCATAGATATAGCTAGGGCTGGATCTTTAAGAGACCAGTTAAATAAGACTACCTCAAAGACTCAAGACACAGGTAAATATCAGACTAGTCAATATTTCCAAGATAGCTTACCATTAATAAAAAAAAGTAAACTAGTACTAATAGTTCTTTCATATTTGATGACCAATATAGCATTACTTAAAATCAAGTTATTTTATTTGGAAACTTAATTTTGTGTTTAACCCTGCTGAGCAGCCTTTGCAACAATTGATTTTCCAACTTTTTCTAATTTTCTTGGTGTATTTATATAAGGGAAGATCCCAGATTTACACATTCCTGTTATTTATTTCTTCATGAAAAATAAGTTGGTTAACAGTATTGAAAATTTATAGCAAGTTGAAGTATAATGAAACAATTCCCAGGTTCTAAAAATGAAAACATTTGGACTAACAATAGGGATACTACAAACTACATTTTGAAATGTTTGGAAGCACTAAATTCTCAAAACTGATGATTTTTTTTTAAATCCACTAAAACAATTTCCATAACAAATGTATATATATATTTACAAATTTCTTCTTTATTTTAGTTCAACAAGAGAATGTGAAAGATGACCCTGTTTTGAGAGAAAAGGTTGAACAGCTACAAAGGATGATGGGAGATAGGAAAAAGAGAAGACAAAATAGAAGACAAACTATTGCACCTTACATCATAGAATCAAGACACCAAGAAAATAAAGAAAGCATTTGTGAAAAAGCAGACATTATCACAACAAAAGAATCAGAAACTTTAGCTGTCTGAACAGTTCACAAATTTCAAGTTGGTTTTCCCCATGAAACTGACATAACTTTTGTTATTGTCAGTTAATTCTGACTTTAGAATTTGTCAGTTTTACAAACCAGTGGTTGTTGTATTAAGTGGGTTTTAATATTACATAAGAAGTCATCATGGTTACTGATGACAAGAAAGCCAAAGAAAGAACATGTTCTGTCATGCAAAAGTATCAATGTGTGCTGTGATCTTTTTCAGAGTCATTAACTGGTTGAAATTCATTTTGGTTAAGAACTCTTGACTGGTTTTTCCATTTTGTATATATTTATTTGTATGCAACTAAGCTAAGAAAGATAACTCCTGTCCAATTTATGCCATGAATTTTTTGAATTTTTTTGTTCAATAGGAAGTTTTGAATTTTTTTATAGAGACATAATTTTTGTTGTATTGTCTTTTTTATATCCATGATTCTACAATTTACAATCATAAGCAGTTGAATTTAAGTAACATAAACACACCAAAATATTAATCTGTTCATGCATTAAAGATTAATAAAAATTTGTTAAAAATAATTTTATGTTGTGTGAACAAGCATTTCAAACTTTTTTTACCACCCAACAAGAACCATATATAGTGTTTCTGTAACTTGTATTTCTGGTACCAATATTTTTATTGTTAGTGCATTCGGTCCATAATGTTTGTTGTCTAAATGTTAATACTTCATGTCTTGTGAATTTTATGTCTGGTAAACAAATTCATATAATTTTATCTATTACCATAATATATAAGTTATTTCCTTTATTGATTCACTGGTTCAAGATTGAACAATTTCATACATGTTACTATTGTGAGACACATTGTAGGCAATATACTGCTTCGCAAACATATGTGTTACTTTTTTTCAACAAGCTGTTTCTAACTTGACTGCAATAATGAATTTGTTTTAAATCATAATGACCAAGGAAAAATAATATTTGGTAACTCTACAATTAACAGTATATCAGGGGTTTAAATTGAATTATATGTATTAGTCTTATCATTAATCATGTAAAACATTACACTTTAATGCAAAGACAGTTTGAATCGCCTGCCGTCGTGGTACAATTAGGCCAGTATTGTTTTTATAACTCAGTCTGTTCATCAGACTTAGCTTGTTGTTTTGATTCTATGCACTGAAATTGAATATTTCTGCAAAACTCTGTAGCAGTAAAGACCTAGTCTGGCTACTTCTGCATCTTGCTCTACTATTATTTGTTTTCATTCAGAAATTTAGGCTGTGATAGAAGCCAATGTTAGAATTTCTACTAATATGGGACAAGTAGTTTAAGGCATGGTTAATTTTGATCCTAGGTTAAATGGAACATACATAAATGAGCTTGATCATTGTCGAAATTTAAGATTTTTGTAAAAGAAAGTCAAGGGGCTATAACTCCTGCAATAATTTAAGGATCAAGCAGTAGCATACTAGATCAACAATATATCCAACAGCACAAGTATAGAAAATATCAGTTAAAAATCATATGCCAAATGTTCATAAAACGAACGGACAGAAAGAAAATTATAGATTGCTACTTTATCAAGATATTGGGTTAGTAAAAGGTAAAAAAAACCAACTAATAATTGATATTGTTTTGTTGTCTTAGAAATTTTTCTTGAGTAGTTTCTCTATGACACCAGCAGACTAGGTCTTTTTCCTGTAGCCAAAACAACTGACATGTACACATTAAATACATTTACTTATAATAATACATATGTGTTAACATGAAGAGAGTGAATTATTATTAGAGGAAGAAACATTGCTAACATTATATGCTCATTTTAGTTACACCTAGGGGAAATATTTATATTTGTATATATGAATGTTGTGATGATTTAAAATATAACAATGTGCAATGTAAAAATCATACTGTGATACAATTACAGAATATGAATAAGATAGAGAATTCTTACCCAGCAATACATGGTCTAGTAGACATCCAATACACAATAGTCAATCTAAATGCATTCTAAGAATGTGTATTCACAGACTTTTTATCACTCTTATTTTTATATTAAAACAACAATAATTGGAAGTTTGCTAGACCAAAATTTTCCTTATAATATTTATTGTTGACAGAATGTAAAATATTTAAGCATAACTTATTGTTCCTATTATATTATAACTAAATGTTGTTCTGTGGGCTTAATATAAATTAATATTTTTAATTTATTAAACCTTTTACTCTTTATAGATGTTGTTGCATTTAGATAATTAAACTTCATAGTAATTTACTCTAGTTCTTTGGAATATAAAATGATGGAAAACTACATTGTATTCATTTTTATTTCTCAGTTACATATTTGTCTACATTGGTTTCATTGGTACATGTACCAGGCATTAATTTATTCAAAGAAAAGGAGGTAACACAAGTACTGAGCTTCACCACAAGTTAAAATATCATGGTATCAAATCATCAAGCAAAAATGGAAAACCACTTTAAGTGTCCTTACGTTAATATAACAATATGGTTATATTGAAAAAAAATTGAAATGTTGTACACCACTATGAAACAGACAGTTAACTTCGTTTTATCTAAATTAATTTAATATCATAAAAATAGGGAGATGTGGTATAATTGCCAATGACACTATCCACCAGAGTCCAAAAGATGTGGATGTAAGCTACTACATGTACTATAGTAACTGTAAGGTGGTTTTGAAGTTTCGTTAGAGGGCAGAAAGATGCCAAAAGACTATTACCGGTAGACAATGCCATGGCAAAAAACAATTAAAGGACCACAAGACAAACATCAGTATACAAAACACAACAGTTTTCTCAATTGAATTTTTTCATATTTTTCATGTCAGGCCCTTTCATAGCCGACAATACCGTAAGGGTTTTCTCATTGTTGAAGGCCGTACAAAAAAATCTTTAATCGGTACTGACAGTCAAAATAAAGTTCCACAATCCCCGATTTTTCAAGAAATTGTTTCATATCTTAATACTTTAAGTACCTGCTTCCAAAAAATATGAGCATGTACAAAGAATTGATATTCACATATGGAATTCAGAGTGCACAACATGTTTCTGGCAAAAACATCAGCTAATAAGAAGAAAAAGATTGGGAAGCCAATTTAGCTTCATGAACATTAAATTGTAAGGGAACAAGCTTTTTAAAACAAGGACCATAACTCTGCACAAAATCATCAGACCGAAACAAAATTCGAACTTGATCTGTAACTTGTCATGATAAAACAAAACACCAAATTTCAAATCAATATCTTCAAGCACGAAGAAAAAGTGTGGAAAACTGATTTGCCGGACAGACAGACAGACAGAGTGCAAACCTAAAAGTCCCCTTCGACTTTGTCAGTAGGGGACTTATAAAAATTTGGATATAATGTATGATTGCCAATAAAACAACTATCCACCAGAGTTCAAATGCCTACTTAGGTAAACATTGCCAAAAAAACAATTATCCACCAGAGTTCAAATGCCTAAGGTAAAAGCAATTAAATTTTACAGTACAATCTACAATAATGAGAAAAACTCATATTGTATAGTTGGCTATGAAAGGCCCCGACATGAAAAATGTGAAACATTCTAACCAAGAAAACTAACAGCCTAATTTGTACAATACAATTTACGAAAATCAAATATGACAGACATGAACCAACAAAAACAACTGAATTATAGGCTCCTGACTTGGGACAGGCATTTAAAGAATGTGGCCAGGTTTAACATGTTTGTAAGAGCTCAACCCTCCCCTTAACATCGGACAGTGGTGTTACAGCTCAACATAAGAACAAACTGAAACTAGATGTGTCGGAACGAGATGAATGGCCCTGTCTCAAAAAGTTTTAAAAATCTGCAATTTTAACAACACATGTGGACACAAACATGCATGGAAGTATCCAGCTCTCAAGACCAATACTAGTTTGATGAAAAATTTCCTTGATCAATGAGTAGTTAAATTTCAAATTATCAGAAAACAGGAAGTGGATGTACTGAAGATGTGTTGAAACTACAATGAAAATCAGCATAAATTTGATCTGTAACTCATCATGGTAGACTCACATATAAAAAATCAGCACAAAATCTGAAGGCATATAGAAAAAAAGTCCATATAACTGTGATTTACAACAATTTATCAAAGTCCAAAGCCCGTAATTTCGGCTAAAATTAGCGGAACGAAACTTAAACTTGATCTGTAACTCATCATGGTTAACTCACATACCAAAAATTAGCCCAATATCTGAAGGCGTTTAGAAAAAATGACCGTATAACTGTGATTTTCAACAATTTATCAAAGTCCAAAGCCCGTAATTTCGGTAAAAATTAGCAAACTGGAATGAAACTTAAACTTGATCTGTAACTCATCATGGTTAACTCACATACCAAAAATTTGCCCAATATCTGAAGGCGTTTAGAAAAAAAGTCCGTATAATGGTTTGTGACGGAATGACGGACAAGGGTAAAACTATATGGCCCCGACAACTTTGTTGCGGGGCCACAAAAATCAGTTGCAAATGGCTTAACTCAATAAATCTGTATGAATCACAAAAAAATCCAATTAACATAAAAGCAATAGACACAAAGCAACAATATAAGTGTACTTCACAATTACTGAAAGCTAGTTTTCTTTCCTTCCTCACTATGCACTCCACAGACTTCATCAATATTTAATATGTATTGAGTAAATCAACATCCAATTTGTTTAAAGCAAAACATATTGTACTTAGGTTTATTAAATATACATACCAAATTACTGAATTGGCAAAGTTGTGCCAAGCTTAAGCTCACAGTAATTATATTATGCTCCAGTTATGTCTCCAACATATAAAGTTCTTGGATAAATCACCTCACGATGATATTCCATGCTATTGCAAGTTGGTATAGAGATGCAAACAATTATTTTTGAGAATTTTATGCAATACAAGCATTCTCAGAGTATTGCATGGCAATACATAGTCCCCTACCAATGAAAAATTCATTGAACTGGAACAAAATGCCAACTTGATCTATAACTTGTCATGGTGTAAACTATATAACATATATCAAGTCAATATCTTCAAGCATGACAAAAAAAGTGTGAAAAAATGAATATTTGAGTGAAATTTCTAAGTCCAAGTATCATAACTCTACATAAATCATCAGACAAGAACAAATTTCAAACTTGATCTTTTACTTTTCATGATAAAACTATATACCAATTATTAAATCAATATCTTCAAGCATGACAAAAAAGTGTGGAAAACTGATTATTTGAGTGAATTTTCTAAGTCCAAGGACCATAACTCTGCACAAAATCATCAGACCGGAAAATAATTCGAACTCGGTCTGTAACTTGTCAAGATAAAACTATATACCAAATTTCAAATCAATACCTTCAAGCACGAAGAAAAAAAGTGTGGAAAACTGATTTGCCGGACTGACGGATGGACAGACAGACAGACAGATGGAGTGCAAACCTAAAGTCCCCTTCAACTTCGTCGGTAGGGGACTAAAAAAATTTTTTTTAAATTTTAATCAAAGGATCGTACATCCTCTACGACCCGTGAATATCAACACAGTTTTACATTTTGTTTTGTAATGTTCCTATAACCTGCCATGTGCAGATTTTACCTACCACAATTAAATATTTTTCTGTTTATGTTATTTTAATATTTGGTGGTGTTATGGTTGATATGTGTCTTGGTCAACATGATCTACTTATTAGACTTTAGATTTAAAATGGACTTTTGGTTAATACAAGAACAAATTTTAAACTGTCTCATTTAATATTTTTATGTGTTTTGCCATATGTAGCAATCTATTGACTAGTATGTACCGATAGAAGTCATTGGCATTTATACTACACATACTTTTTATAATGCTTTATAGCTTTTATAATACTGAAGCTGTGGTTTAACAGTTGTTATCCATTTGTTTGATGTGTTTGAGCTTTTGATTTTGTCATTTGCTTAGGGACTTTCCGTTTGAAATTTTCCTAGGAGTTTGCTATTTTTGTTATTTTACTTTTTAATAACTGTCTTCAGCCTTTGATGTACTGATGCTATTTATACAACACATTATTACACTTACCAATACATCAATAAAACACACTAAATTCAATATGGACAGGAAAGTTCAATTGACAAATTTACAGATTTAATGAGCTTTGGTGTACAATTTGATAGAAATGTCAAGTTTTAATTTAAAAAATAAAACAAATAATGCATCAATGTCTTTTAATTTCTGAAAAATGTTTTCAAATAGACGCACATGTTTAAGGTAGAAAATACTCTCAAAATCATCTTAAAATGGTAATTGATGCAAAAAATAGGCTAAAACTTTAAACTCTTGTCTCTGTAAAACAATTATACAACATATTTTTAATAAATACAATAAAACTTATGATTCCAATGGTCTACCTACTTTCAGTTTCATAAATTTGTCTCTATGTTCTTTGGATGTTTTGGAAAAGCTACTCTTGACAATATTAAGTGGATGATCTTTACCTGTCAAATATATAGAATTTTTCATCTGATCAACTCCTAGATCTTTTAATAGAAAGCTACCATTGTAAGATCCATACTGAGCTATGTATGTAGATAAAATAAATCCAGTCATGAAAGCATCAAATCCTGCTCTATGACTACCTGATCGTACAATTTCCACAGGTTTCTTCAATATATCTGCAGGAAGTGTTATATCTTTAACATGACATTCATTTTCTTCCACATTTTCAATTGGAGTTACCTCCTCTTGTATTGAATCATCAAAGGTATCTTTACTTTCTTCTGATAACTCACTGTTTTCCCTATTATGACGTCGTCGCTTCCGTTTACGTCTCTTTTTTGTCTGAACAAACTGGTCTAAATCTAGGATAAGGTCAATGTCATGTGATCTTTTACATTTACTTCCTTTACCACACCAACCATGACCCTGAAATGAACATTATTAAATCAACATTAAAAAAATTATAGTGAATGACAACATGTTTCTGTTGAATCTATTAACTTTTATAGACTTGGAGCAATGTAAAGCTTGACATATTGTATATTGTCTATTGTTGAAGGCTCTTAGTTGCCCTCTACATGTCTTTTAGTTATTTTTCTTGTTGAGTTTTGTCTCATTGACATTTAAATCCCTATCTCTGTTTAGCCATATTAAACTATGATCTTTATATGTTTTGAAAAAGTATAAAAAGGAACTTTTCCTGTAAAAAATACAGAATTTCTCATCTAATCAACAACTAAATCTGTTAAAATAAAGCTACCATTATCATAAGATTCATACTGAGATATGAAAGTAGATTTTCTAATTTTATTTTTAGTACTGGTAA